GTGCTCTTCCGCCGGTCCTCCGCCTCGCCCAGCCCCCTCCGCTGGCCAGGCACCACCCCTTCATCCCCGCTGGCCCTCGGAGCCCCTGTGGCCACTTGGGTGGGAAGGAGATAAAGAAGGACCTCTCCCTCAAGCACAGCTGTATGTTTTCTCTCCTCGTTTTGGGGGATATCCCCCTTTCCCGGCAGTGGCAGGTTTGTGAAGATCCCACTGGCCCTTGCAGAGAGAGCCATGCCATGACCTTTGTTTTTAAGATGGTGCCATGGTGGTGCAAGCGCCTGCCTGCCCAGCAAAGGCCCCTGGCCCAGACAGGGGCTGCATGGCCAGGAGTCCCTACACAGCTTCCCCAAACACTGCAGCATGGTTTGGGCTGCTGGATCTCCCATGCTTAGCTCAGGGATTCCCTTATACAGCACATCCCAGTGACAGAGACTCTGGTAACTTCCAAATTCAAGTTTTCATCATGCCCTCATGACAGCGTGGGCTGACGTCTGGCTCTATATACTTCTAAATCTTGTTTTCTCTGTCTAGGGTAAAATGCTTTGCTGTGCACTTGATGTCACTTCTTAAGTTTACCTGCTGGTGGTATAGACAACACAGTCGAGTGTCATGCAGCCTTCCGACAGCAGCAAGTGTAGGAAAAAATGTTTTCCTCTTCTCTGCTTACTGTTGGAAGATTAAGTGGCATTTGATGGACATGCTCATTTTTTTTGATGTAGCTTTCTCATCTGTCTTAAAGTGCCATAAGGAGGAAGACTGGATTGATGTTGGAAGTTTCTCTTTCTAAATGCATGTGGGAAATGTATTAAGTGTTGTAAGGTAGGTGTGGTAGTCATATTGGATTTATTAAACAGTAGAAAAACAAGTACATATTGAAATTATTCTGGTCTCTTAAATTGCTAGTGAATGCAATTATGCTTTGAGGGAGTTATGAATGTCTCCTCACCACTGCAAAACACCTTTGCTCAGTGACAAAGAACTCCTTCATTTTGTGCCTGCCTTTATTTCCGACACTGGGGCTCAAACTTCTTCCAGCAGAGGACTTTGTAAGGAAATGTCTCTAACGTCTGCTTTTTTTTTTTTTTTTGCTGGTGCAGGCAGTGCAGCCCGAGGAGCTCAGCTCACCCAGCCAATGTGAACACACGCCAAGCCAAGGTGCAGCAGGTGAAGGAGAGGTGGCGAGGTCAGCTGATGGAGACAGCAGTGTCGCTCTGAGGTACCCCGGCCTCCATCTCCATGCCTACAGCATCGAGAGCATGACAACATTTCCCAATGGCTGTGGAAATGGCACCACTGTTACTTGTATAGTTATGGATAATAAAGAGCCCCAAAACCAAACTACCTGTGTCAGCCACAGTGAGGGCTACACCACCAGCAACAGCCATGAGGAGGACATTCAAGAGGATAAACTCAGCCCTTCCAAAATCATGCGCTTTCTCACCACCCCTCGGAAACGGACTAATTCCAGCTCTGACAGGCCTCGTTCTCTGGTTTTGATGGGCAACTCGTCCACGTGGAATGCTTTGTCTTCCATCAGAAAAATGGGATCTTTCAAGAAGTTGAAATCTTCAGTTCTTCAAGGAATTCAAACAAGGGAATGCTCAGACATCTTAAATGAGAATGACGTAGGCAAACATGGTTCAAACGGGGCAGTGGTAACAGTTCAGACTAACAGGTATTCCTATTTGGGACCTTTGCATGATTTCCAAAATGCAGTAGATGGTTCAGCTTCCGACTGCTCCGATGTGGAGGAGAGCGATGAGTCTTTCCTGAGGAATACTCATCGCTCACGCAGCATCAGGCGGGCTTATGGTGCTGGCCGCATAAACTTGCTAGATACTGATAAAGTTCAGAGTCATCACAATGGTACTAGGCCAACATCACCTGTCATTGCAGAGCCAAAGATCTGTGAAATTTTGGTGAAAGACTCTGAAAACAACAGGATCATTTATCGGCGAAGCAAAAGTTCGGATAATTTGAACTTTCTGAAGAAAAGCTCGTTCAAACGGAAGTCCACCTCAAACCTCACCGACCTCAAGGTTACAAATGAAAAACAGATGCCAACAAGGACTGTGAGTGTTACTTCTGCTGACTCGGACAAAACCAATGGGAACCCCGACAGGCGATCCAAGCGATGGAAGAGCCCTATCAGGGCAAAGGATTTTGACCGAGTTTTGAAACTTGTCAGTAATGTTACAGATGTTGCCTGGAAGAAGGATGGTCCTAAGAGCACAGCTCCTTCTCCCAGCGAGCAGTCCCAGAGAACAAGGTCAAACAGCAGACTGCATGATGACTACTCCCGCAGGGTTTCCAGCAGCACGGATTATGACAGAAAGAGATGCACCTCCCCGGTGTCGAGTCCAGACTCTTCCTTGCCAGGAACCCCGTGTCTGCAAAGCCCCGCAGTTGCTCAGGATAAAGAACCTGAAATGAATGTAGCTGTTGCTGAAGACAAAAGCCTCAGGACGTCATCAGGTATCCCAGACTCTGATAGCTCATCACCCACGCTGAATGACTTTAGTCCATTTCCCAATGAAGTGTTTTATTCGGACTCAGAGGAACTAAAAGCTACCCAGCAGTTTACATATGAAGATGAAAACCCTCATGTTCCGGTCAGGCCGACTACTCCGAAGCCTCAAAGCCCCACTGCAGAGAAGGTCAAGTGCAATATGAATTTCCAGTGCCCAGACCATCACAGCACATTGTCACTGAGCTCGTCAGAGAGCGAGGACAGAGTTCAGGTAGCAGGGCTGAAGCTGGGCAGGAATCCTGTTTGCTTCCAGGACTCGGTGCAGACTGTGTACTATGATGATGGAAATGAGGACAGTGGCATAAGCAGCCACTCACAGCTGAGCCTCAATTTAGCCTCTGGTGCTGAAGAGAAAAAGGAAGAGGTAAGACAGAAAGCAAAATCCTTTAGAAGCTGTGTATATATATCTACGAGGTTTTGTCTTTATTAATGCAAAACAATGCAAACAATGCAAAATAACCTGAATACTAATGGCCATTGCAGCTTGTTATTGCTGAAATATGCTGACAGCAATTATTTCCTTTAATATATTCTCTTTGGATGCTAACATCAAATTATTTTTTCTTTGTGCATTAATATCAAAGAAAGTTTTGGCAGCGAAGCTCTTCATGTACATTTTCAAGGGCAGCCTATTGTACCCTGCAGATACACCACCTTGTCATGTGGGCTTGTCAGATTTTACCAACCTGAGCAGAGTTTGGCTGTGTTTCCTTCCAAGCTGAGAGGTCTCTAAAGAGACTGTATATTTTGAAGTAGTGTTGATTCAGTGTAAAAGTCTTTGCCTGTGGAAGCCTTGCAGAACATGGTAGTACTTGTAGAGCAGTGTGGTGTGAAAGATGCAGTTCAGAGGTTTAAGCATTCAGTTGTATCTGATGTTTTTTTCACTGCAACGAAGGCCGTGCTGAAGATAGACTATTTGGATATTTATTTGCTGGCAGATTTCAAATGGCAGTACTTTACATGCTGGGCTGAGTGCATTGCTACTGATGTTTTTATGAAGACACCAGCATTTTGCTGCACCTAATGCATGATCTCATACTCCCAGTAGATGGGTAGATGTGCTGCAGCACCTCTGAGGTAACTTCATGTAATGGCCCTGTGCCCTTACCTAAAGTACTGTGTGAGCTGGCACTGGGATGACTGGAATGATTTTTGGGAGTGTTGGTGAAGAGCTGTCCTGCACCTGTTTGAGATGGTGTGGCTCCCCTCAGCCCCAGCAATGTACAGTAATGTGGTTCTGGGGCTACTTATGGTGAGGCAGCAGGGAAAGGTTTGCTACTCATTGGGAAAAATACACTGGGGAAAAAATCCCTCTGGATCTGTATGAATGCTGAAACCATTTACAAAATGAAGCTGATACATCTTTTAAGTCACCTCAGTTTGACTGAAAATATCTTATACCTTATGTATGAGATAGGCAAAGGCAATTGTTGCAGCTGCACAAACTTCAGCCTTTTATGCTGTGAAGTCTGAAAAAGTCTGTGAAGCTGGCTTTCTTTTAAAAGCCTGGCATGGTTTTTGGAAACTAACTGTAAATGGTTGCAGAGGTTATCAATATTGTCCTTCTGCTGGAGAAAAGTGAGTTTGTTTACTGTAGTGTTTGCAGCTATGGTAAGATTGGAAAAATAAACCAAATGTGTATAAATACTAGGGCTTTGAGGTTAATCCTCTTCTGGAGTCCCAGAATTGCCACAGCCATGCATCTTTTCCAAAACTCTCAGTTAAGAGCGCATGCAAGGAGATGCTTTCACATTGCCAGAGAGGCGAGAGCCCTAGAGTGGATGTGTGCCAGTTGTATTTCTTGGGAATAAAACAGTAGAATTAATGCTGCTCATCTACCATCTAGTGGTGATCCATGATCATGACCCAAGAGAAATGCAGCTTGTCCCTCCCCTTGGCTCCCGACAAACCAGTACAGTTTTTAGATGAGTGTACAGTGGGTGGATTAAAGTTACTGCAGTTTTAGTTTTAACACCACATTCTGTTATTATTTAGTATGTAATTTAAGCTCACTCTCTTTATATTATAACATATTTTAGGTTAATTGTGAGTGCCTTTTAGTGCTTGCTTCGGTTGTCTTAAGTACAGAGTGCGCACTGGTGGCAGCTCTGGGTTTGTGTAGCGGGCAGGCAGCCGGTGTGGGATGGAGCCCCACAGGAGATGAAGCAATTGGTGGCCAGGGGATGGACTCCTTGGCTGCCAGGGCAGCATTAGAGGGACTGTAGCCCCCTCCCTGTGCTGTGAGCACTGCCTGGAGCCCTCTGTGTATGGAAAGCAACTGGCCACCCAAAAGGTGCATTTGCATTCAGGTCTCTCTCATGATCCAAAAAAAGCAGTTTTTGGAAGTACTAGCTGTGGATTGGAAGCAGAAGCTGTGCAGGACAGAGTTTACTTCTGTCTTACTATGCAAGGGGTGTAAATTGTCCTCTTCTTTTTTTTACACGCCTGCACATCATCCCATATGCAATCATAAAGCTATGGCACTTGGGGTGACTGCAGAAGAGGGCGAGTGGTATGGTGTTTCCCTGCTATTTATTTGGAGAATTTCATTGCTCATTTCCTCCTCCTTTACAGCCTGCTTCCCTCAATGTGGAGGTAGCTTGGCACCAAAGATACTTATGTCAGGTTATTTTTTTAATTGGAGTTGGTTCAGCCCGCAGGCACTTTTATGAATGCCACGTACTCACACAATGAGGTCACTGGGGTTTGAACTTTGACTACCAATTCATTTTTAAGTCTCCCTCACACCTCCGCATTGCGGAACTGTACTTACCCAGCAAGTTGTTCCGGTGACAGCCAAGCACTTGATTCATTCTCAATAGTCATTGGAGACGTGATGCTGAGCCATGCATATCTCAAATTTTGAAGACTTTGTCTGAACCTTAAATAGACTGTTGACAGACAAATCTGCACTGTTTCCATGTTTCGTGCATGTTCTGTGTGGATTTCATGTAAATGCCATTCTAGTACAGACTAAAGTCTCTGTGGCTTGGAGACATGTTGCACAAAACTCACAAGGTGCTGGGCGGTCAGGCTTGAACGAGTTCTCCTTTCAGGACTGGCTGCCGTAGCTGGAAGCAAATCTCCTGTACTCCCTTACCCACTCATCTAGTAGATGAGTTGGCAAATGAAGTCTGTGGAACTTGATCCATGTCTGTATTTTCCAAATGTGGACACTGAACATTTCTACCTTGTGTTTCCTCAGTGCTATAAAGCTGATTTTGCAGTGTTCACGCAAGAGTGTCTATCCATTTAACTGAATCAATATTTTGAAAGTTTTTTTCCTATGCAATTCAGTCTTGATATTTGGTCACTTTGTTGGTTCCAAGATTTGGACTGGAGCAGGGGAGGTGTTTGGCCTTCTCAGCTGTTGGTCCTGCCAGAGGTTGCTTCCCAGGGAGGAGCTAATGAACTGCAGCACTTCTTAAGCTGCAGAGGCCTAAGTCACCAAAGCTCCATCTGTGACAGCCCATGCTTTCCCAGTCTCTGCTTTATGCCACTGTCACTTACATTCAATATGTTGCTTTTAAATAGCATCAGGAGACAATTAGGTGCAAGTTTGTATTTGGACTGTTTTGCATAGTCTTTCCTGAAGAAGAGCCCCGTGTCACTATACATAATGAAAACTTACAGTCTTTGCTTTTGGACTGGCATGTCAGCCACTAAGGCTGCCTAAACACTCTTCTGAATTTGTTACAAAAAAGACAAAACGGCCTATCTGATGTTTCACCCAGTCTTTCACAAGCTCTTAGAGAGCACCTGCTGTTTAAGTTGCCTTGCTGGCATCTGGCTTCACAGTGCACCAGACTATTTATTACTTAAATACCTTATCTCCATGACTATAAGTGAATGATAAATTACAGTAAAGAGGTAACTCTGCTGTAATTAGGGTTGAGTCACATTTTGTTTGCAGACTATATTTTAAGAGCTCTAAGACCTGTCTGTTGACTCATTTATCTTCGTGCCATGCAAATGTCAGTGGTCCCAACTAATGCACATTGTGCAGTCCCCAGCACTGCACTGTTGGCAGAGTTGAGCTAGTCTGTCCTGTACAGGTCTCTGGGATCTGAATATTGAGCACAAATGGCTTAACCTGGGGCACAGCTTACAGAGAAGAGGAAGAGGAGCTGTATGAGTGGGAATACAGAGGGGATTCAGCTCTGTCCTCACTTCATTCTCCCTATTTCTTGCTTCAGAAAGTGTCCTCACAGTGAAGGGCCAAAGGGCGGTGGCTGAATGTGGTCATGTTCAATACCCACAGGGAGCATGCAGCAGCCAGGAGCTGAGGATGGGCATCTTTGGTACTGACCAACTTCTTAAACTGGGTTTACTTCTATGGGGCTTGTAATTTGGAACAAGGGCTCACCGCTCCAGTGCCACTCTGGTCTTGCTGGCTACAGGGCCTGAGGACAGAGCAGCAGAGCACTTTAACAGACTCTCAACAGCATCTCTGGCAGCAAACTGAGGTTTCAATTAGACCAAGTGACATTGGATTTTCACCGAACTCTCTGGGGGGCTCTGCACAAGTCAGGATATGCTTACACAATGTCTCCACAGTTAAAGATCAACTTCCAGGAGCACTTGACCAGAGCTAAACCAGAAACCACTGCGCAGTGCTACAAACCCAAACTGCAGAACCAATCATTGAAATGCTGCAGAAGGGAGTCCTCAAAGGACATAAATATCTTCTTGTCGCATCAAAAACTCTTCCAACTTTCTGCAGCAGAGCTGTCTGCCATTCAGTAGAGCCTGTAATCATTTGTTGCTGTATCCTGTATTAGGAAGAAGAAAAACAAGGCAGTGGTGACAGTAATCTGAATTTTGGATCAGGTTAAATTTTAGACCAAGTAACTCTAGTGCTGAATAAAATTGGCCATTCCTCAAAATGATAGAGTAGTACAGAAGTTACTGTCATCGCTACAAAAGGGTCTGTGGATGCTGAAATGAGGAGTTCGGGTGGACTCCACTGCAGTTAGCCCTGTGCAAGCTGCTCCCCTTCCTTGCTGCATTTGTGCTCCTCTGCCTTTTTGGAGTGTCTGATGTTTGCCCCTGCTGTAGCTCTCCTCTGACAGCTCAGTGAAACACAGGCATTGCACACCCTGGGATCAGGAGTAAATATAGTGGAACGACACTTCTGGGCCATGTAGCTTGTTTTTTAAATTGAGTGTGGTGTTGAGTTGTCAGCACTGAAAATGCATCTTGACACTAGGAGATTGCGATGTCCAAATTGAGCAGAGGCAGCAGGAGTTTCCTCTGAGCTGCCTGTGTTTCACCTTTCTGGCATCCGAGGCTGTAGTGCTGCTCGTGGTACTGGGATGCTGAGCAGGATGCTGCATGGGATGCTGCAGCAGGCGGGGGAGACCG